TGTGAACACCCACCTCATGCTTTGGCTTCTAGCCACTCTCATCAACCGCGAAAAGTATCACGGAGGAAGACCAGGGGCACCGCGTGAGGGGGGGGGGGGGACTGACACATAGGGAAGGAGCCGAGGTGCGTGCCTTACGAGATCTTAATTACTCGCCGAACAACCTTATTCTAGGTAAAATTTACAGAGTATCTGGAGCGGCGAGCGGCCATATGCACCCGAACCAAGGGAGTAGCATATAACACGAGTACTCCCTCCTTTCCGGTTTATAGGGCTTATCTCAAAATTTTAGTTTTTTTATTTTATAAGGCTCAATTTGGTTGTTTCCCATCACATGTTCAGATTTCAAGGCGCATTAAATCATTGCATGCAAGTATTGAGAGAAAATTGACCAATGCATGTACTTTATGCATGCATGCGTTGCAATTAATGCATTGATAAACATAATTTTTTGAGAAAAACAAAAGCATTAATTAGGTGCTTTTGCAAACTACAAAAAGTATTCCACCACTCACCATCTACCTTGGTTGGTGAGATTTTTGAATTGAGCCTTATAAACCGGAAAGGAGGGAGTATCTTTGAACCTAACTTCATCGTGTCGACTGAACAAAACATGAACTCACGGACCTCTTCAGATTTGGTGCTCTTTCCCCACAAATGCAAATCCATTTTATTGCCTCACCCCTCCAAATCCGGCATGCACCATCAAAGGCCTCGAGGCAAGTGCAGCGCAGCCGAACCGCAAGCGATGGCGGGGCGAAAATTTCGGCTGTCTCAAAAAGATTTACCGCGAGCGCCGAGCCGCGGCGGTAAAACACGATGAAAAAGCCCAGAACCCCGGCGCGCGAGCGGGCGGGAACCCCGTGCCCGTCCTCTACACCACCGAGCTTAACCCGCCCCATACACCATGTCCACGAGCCGCAGTCTCACTGACACCCCGGCCCACGTCGCCCGCGCGCGAGCATGGCTCACCTGGACCCGCCTCCGCCGCGCGACTCAAATTTTCACCGGACGCGATTCACCCCCACGCCCGGGATACCCCCTGCCCCGAATCCGGACGGGACTCCACCCTCGCGCCGAACCACACCACGCCACTGACGCGCGGGCCCAGAAGAGGCCAAGCCCCACATGCAGCGGCGCGTGTGGCGGTTCCTCGCGTGCGTGCGTGCGTCGCGGCGCTGGTTCGGCTTCAAATACCCTCAAATACCCAACCTCTCCTCCTTCTCCGGTTCCTTCCCTTGTACTCACAACACCACTCCCGAAATCCTCAAAACCCCTTCCACCGCTGCTGCTCCCCTTCGCTCTCGTATTTGGATATTCCCCTCTCGGTTCGAAGCACCAGGGTAGGGTAGGGTTTCTTCGACC